AAGTGCAAACAAGGATCCCGGAAGGCTGGTGACCCTTGAACCCACGGCAGGGCCTGAGTTATGCACCGATTGTCTAGTCCTGACAATGGGGGCTCAAGCTATTTCCTGATCAAATAGTCTCAGAGTAAATCCTTCTAATATTTACTGACCTTTAAGATAGTCTGTCTGCTACCGCAATTACCTGCCTGACTAAGGGCTTTATGTGTAACCAAAGTTGAATAAAAGGCTGGCGAAGCCTGGACACCAGTGGAGGTCCTTCCCCTTGAGTTGGACTTGCCCACCTGGCCCCCCAATATTTCCAAATTATCTCTGGTCTCTTCTCTTTCAGTTGTGTGCGGCTCCTCTTCCAGATCCTGAACCCTAAACCACACGGGACGTGGGGGAACACACATACAACACTAACCCTCACCCTAACCTTGTGCCCTAACCCTAACCCTAGTCCTAGCCCTAACCCCTAACCCTAAATACCTAACCCTAAAATCCAAACACTAACCCTAAAACCTGCACCTGACTCTAAAATCAAACCCAAACACTTGACCTCTGACCCTTGACCTTTAAGCTCTGACCCTTGAAATTTCAGCGCTGATCTTTGACCTTCAACCTCTGACCATTGATGTTTGACCTTTTGACCCTTTGGCCCTTGACCTTTGGACTCTGACCCTTGATCTCTGACTCTTGACCCTAACCAATGACTCATCCCTAACCCTAGCCCTATTCGTAGCTCTAACCCCAACCCTGACTCCTAATTCTAACTCTAACCCTAAAACCCTAACCCTGAAACCCAAACTCTTGACCCCTGACCTCTAACCCATGACCCATCCCTAACCCTAACCCTAGCCACAGCCCTAACCCTAGCCCTAACCCTAAAACCCAAACTTGAACCGTACCCGAACACTTGTCCTCTTATAGAGCCTTGACCTTTAAGCTCTGACCCTGGACCTTTGAACTCTGATATTAGACCTCTGACCTCTGGCCCAGAACCCACTACCTGGACCCTCTGCCTCCTTGATCTCCTTTGTAACCAGGCAGCGGCCAGGGAGCGGCTTGTGAGCTGGGCTGAGTGGAGGGGGAGGGGGGCTGGGGGTAGGGACCTCTGCTCCCCTCTCTGAGCCTCAGTTTTGGCATCTGGAATATGGGGATGACAACCCAGCTGTCAGCTCCTGTCAACCAGGTGCCCCAGGAAGCCAAGGCCCAGGCTGGACTCATGAGGGGGAAGGCCTGGGAGAGGAGGGCGGGCTGGGGGGAACCCTGCACCATCCTGCAGGGGAGGGGGCGGCTCAGCGAGGCAGCGGGGAGTCCCTGAGCCCCGAGGCTGCGCTTCCCACCCAGCAGCCCGCCCCGTGCGCCCACTGCACTGTCGCTGCCGAGGAGCCCGGGGGAGCGGGAGGCAGGGCTGAGACACAGACACAGGGATGGGTCTCCCTGTGAGCCCTGCAGTGAGAGATCTAGGGGGTCCCCTCTGCGGGGCACAGGGCTCAGCTGTTCCCAGAACCCGGTCAAAGCCCCAAAAGGAGGGGCCAGGAGGGGACTATTTCCTGGGGCTGCTGCTCCCATGACAACAAACTGGCCTCAACCAACAGGAACACGTGCTCTCCCCGTTCTGGGGCCAGAATCTGAAATCGGGGCGTCTGGGGCTGTGCTCACTGGGAGGGCTCCAGGGGAGGGTCCTTCCGGCCTCTTCAGCTTCTGGTGGCTCCTGTCCACATCCCTTCAATCTTCACGTTGCCCCGCCCCCTTGTTCACCTGCCCACTCTGATCACATGGCCCCGCCCCCTTGTTCACGTGACCACTCTTATATGGCCCTGCCCCCTTGAGACCTCGGTTGGTTGCCACCTCCCTGGCTGTCTGCCCTGCTCTCGCACCTGTTAACAGTCCCTTTGCCGAAGTCCTTCCAGAAAATAATTCGCACGTGTCATCTCTATCCTGCTGGGACCGTGACAACTGGGATTGAAAGGAGACAGGAGAGCAGTGGCTCCTCCAGAGAAAAAAGCAAGAGGTCCAGAGGGGCCCGTGCCGTCCCTGGAGGCTGGGGGAGGGAAGGGTGGTGAGGCCGGGGTGCTGACTGGGAAGTGGAAAGCCCTCAGGGCAAGTGGGGCGCACACACCATCACCCCACACTCCTGTGAGGAGCAGCTGTGAACCATTGCACAGGTGAAGCTACTGCAGCACAGAGAGGGCGAGCGAGCGACCACCTCGAGGGCACACAGCCGTCAAAGGGCAGAGCTAAAAACTGAACCCACAGCCTGTGACCTCTCCTTTACCTGTGACCTCTCCTTTACCTGTGACCTCTGGGAAAGCAGCCCCTCACCCTGTGGCCATTGCTCTGATGGGCTTCACTCTTCCCCCACCCTCCCCTCCTCCACCCCCAGTGGACAGGGGTCCTGTCACTGCACCAGTGCCTCTGGGCGGCTGCTCTTTGTCCCGAGGTCCCTCCCAGCTGCTAACCTAAGAAGAGTCCAGCTGCCTTTGGGCGAGGGCCTTGTGTGGAGAACGCCGGGCCTCCCCTCGCCTTCTGTGGCTTAAATTACAAAGTACCATCATTTTTTCTGTGCCTGGCTATCGCCACCTGCCTCCCCTGGCAGATTGTTTTACCTCAAAAAGAAATTGATTCAGGGTCTGAAAACCGGCTGACTTCCTGCATTCGCTCTGAGACGTGGCTCTGCCCCGGTGCCTCCTGGTCCACATCCCTGATGCCACCCCACCTCCGTGACAGCCTCTCTCATCCCCTGGAGCCCCACTCAGCTCACAGCATCCTCAGCGATCCCCTGCAGCTCCAGGGAGATGCTGAGTCATTAGTCCCCCAGGTCCTGCCTGCAGCCCCAGGGTCCTCCAATCAGCCTGGGCAGGGCCAGTGGGTTGATCCCTTTGACAGAGGGGTGCAGACACCAGGTGGGCACTCCGCCCCACCCCCAAACGCCATGAGCACCGAGTCTGTGCTGCCAACCAGCTCCTGGAGGGCTTGGCCTGCGCAGTGAGACCACCAGAGACTCATCCGCAGAGTGGCAGGCAGAACAGGCTTCCCAGGGCATCTGGTTGGCCAGCTGGCCCCAAAGCCATCCTTCAGCCTCCCACTCACCCCTGCTTTAGGGAAACCAGGTGTGGTTTCCGCCCAGCCCAGCTGCCTGCCTGGGGTCTCTTGGGAGCTGGCAGAGGCTGTCACCCTCTGCTGGTCTGTTCCTGTTACTGCAGATGGTAAAGTCAACCCTGCCGCCCAGCCGGAAAAAACCCTAATTGACAGTCGTAGAGGGCACCTTGCAGAGGTGATGCAATAGTGGCCCCTCGTGGATATTCTGAGAACAGCACCCTAGTAAGGAATTCTAGCAGCCTGAAAAGAAAACCCAGTGTCAGTCCTATTTTTGTTGTTGTTCATCCTCACCTGAGGCTATTTTTCCATTGATTTCGGAGACAGTGGAAGGGAGGGGGAGAGACAGAGAGAAAGAAACATCAATGTGAGAAAGACACATCAATTGGTTGCCTCCGCACTCGCCCAACCAAAGTAAGTGCCCTTGAGCGGAATTGAACCCGGAACTTTTTAGTCCGAGGGCCAATGCTCTATCCACTGAGCAACACCAGCTAGTAATGAATTCCGGGAGTCTGAAAATGAAAACACAAATGACAATCTTACACAGGAAAGTAGAGCAGGGTCCAGCGAGCCACAGGTGCCTTTTGTGGCTCTGAGCTTTAGAGCCAGGGGCCCATCCGGAAGGCAGGAAACCCAGGACCCTGTGGGAGGGCACAGGAGCCCCCTCAAGATGGGAGACAGACACCAGGGCCTGCCCCCCCCCATTTAAGGGGTGCCTGGGGGTGAGCGTGACTGAAACCAATCATCAGAGTAGGCTGTCCCTGCCGGAGGCTGGTTCATCCTTGTTGCTTGACACAGTTGCTACAGGGAAGAAACATCTGCACAGCATATGTTTCAAGGGACCTGGCATACTGTCCTTAATATGTTTGCTCCAATTCTTAGCACTATGAGGCCACCTCCCCGAGAAAGGTTGTTTCCCCAGGTGGGGATTTTTCCCTGGAGTTAGGGATTAACAGGACTAAGGAAGGGAATAAATCAGTAAAACCCCTTAACTAAGTGCCAGGCGGGTAGTTAATCACCTCAACTACGAACAATCACGCTTAAGCTACATAATCTTTACTTAGGATAATCTCCTTCAGTTACTTCCTTGTAGCTGAACAGAACAGTAGAGTAGTGACCTTGGAATGGAGATAACAAACGCCCTAACCTTTGGAATAGAATGGATAGGATTAAAATCAACTGGTATAAATACAGATGTAACAGGAGAATAAAGAGAGAACCTGACTAGAACCTGACTAGAACCTGACTAGAGAACCTGGCTAGGCTGCTGATCAACTGAACGCTATCTCCATGTCATTCCTTCTTCGCCTACTCCGTCCACACCTTTGGGAACCCCTGGACCTGCTGGGGCTGGACCCCAACATGTCCCCGCATCACCAAGTGTGATGTCAGACAAGGGGGAGGACCTGCCAGAGCCCCTCCTCTGCCCACACAGGGCCTGGACACAGCCCCTCCCCCATTTGTTCCTCATGCTCTGCCCCACTGTATGCATTCCCCACCCCCTTGTCCCGAACCTCCCTCTGCCCACCCAGCATGGCCCCTGCAGTTCAGCCCACTGGGAAACCCCACCATTTCTCACCCACGCTCTAGAGTCCCTGCCACCTGTTTGAGGCCCAGCACAGGGAGAGTGGATCCGGCCTCTGGAGATGGGTGACACAGGTGTGCCTTCCCTCCAGGGGTCAGTGGGGAAGCCTGTGGCTGCCCCAGCAGAAAGGGCAGCATCTGCCATTGGCCGCAGCCAGCATGGGTCCTGGAAGCCAGTGAGAACTCTACACCCCAGGCCACAGGGAGGAGGTGGCCCCAGGGGGGGGTGTGGGGACCTCTGGGGGGATGGGGGACAAAGGGAGGGAAACAGTAGTGGCTGCAGGGCCAGGCCACCCTCAGCACAGGTCAGGAAGACGCTGAGGACACACAGGCGCTAACCTGAGAGAATTCTTTTTATTCGAGCAAACAGAGAGGAGCAGAGCGTGCAAGGCTCTGCCTTCTGCCCACAGGTGCTCCGCACAGGCTGCCGCCCCCGATGCCTCGGTCCCAAGGCCGGCCAGTCCAGGGGTCCCTCTTGGGCGGCAGGGGCAGGAGGAACGGGGACATGAGCTGGGGGGGCCCTACAGAGCATCGCTGGCCTCCCTGCCCCCCCAAGCTGAACTGCAAACAGCCAAGATCCAGTCGAGGGGAGACAGGAGGAATCTAAGATAACCCACCCTGAAACAACACAACCAAGAGGAACCCAGGTCTGCAGCCCAAGGCCTGGGAGGAGCCCCATCTCACTGGCGACTTCTCAGAGCGGCAGAGCCGGGGAGGTGGGGCCGGGCCGCAGAGAAGACAAGGAAAGGAAGCCCGGAGGAAACAGAGCAGAGTCCCCTCGGTGTGCTGAGCGGAGGAAGGAGTCCCAGGTGCTTCTCGACAAGCGGCACTTGTCCATCCAACAGGAAAACGGCGCGGGAAGCAGGCAGACGCCGGCTCCGGGGTCCACACTCTGCATGGCCTGGTCTGGGCAGCGCCACCTCTCTGACTTCCTGCCCAGCATGCCCAGCACATGTGCGCACACAGGTGGACACACGCAGGCACACATGCCACCGTCTCTGCACACGTGCACGCCTGTCTGGCCGTGCGGCTCACCTCTCCTTCACATGGTTCTGTGCCCCTGCACCCCCACCGCTGGCCCCGTCCGTGCTGCCCCCACCGTGGCCCCCGCCGCTGCACAGCACCTCCGTGAGGTCGTCCATGACGGCGGTCTCTTTGGGATCCAGGAGATTGAACTCCCTGGCGAAGAGGATGAAGTGGATGTAGAGGGTGTTCAAGTGTCCATGCAGCTCGAGCGCCAGGGTCTCCTTGAAGTGGGACGAGTAGATGTGGGCCAGCACGTGGAACAGGTACCTGCAGATCTTCTTCACCAGGGACTCGAAGGAGCTGGGAAACTCTCGGCCTGCGGACAGGGCTGCGTCACCCTGGCCCTGCTCCCCACAGCGCCCCTCCTGCCCCTCGGAGCCCTCACCAGGCAGGCAGGATCACCCCCAGCAGCCCTCACTGAGCAGCCACCAGCACACACTCGAGTGACTTGTCCCCGGGGCCCAGCCCCCAAGAGTTGAACCCCCCGGGCCACCTCTGCGACCAGAGGTCAGAGACCCGCCACATGCCGCCCACACCTGGATTGGCCCCTGGGGTCCTGCATGCTTCCTTCTACGTGGCCTGGACCCAGGGGAGGCACACGGGGATGTCCTGCCAGCCAGATGGAGGCCCCCGGAAGCTCAGGATTACCCAGAGCACCGCCAAGCCCTGTCCAGCTGGACACACCCACGCTGGCTGCTCGAGGCCCACAGGTCCCAGAGTCTGGGGTGGATGGCATCTTGACCCAGGGTGGCAGACGCCAGGTCAGGCAGCCGCCTGCTCCTCATCTGCAGCCACGCCCACCTGACACTGAGGGGAACTGCTGAGAGACCTACCATATTTCGTGGGGAACACGTCCTCATCCGTCACCAGCTTCTGCACAGAGCTCATGACAAAGTCGACGTACTGGGGGGCAGTGCACTTGACCTTCTTCCCTCGCTCATCATACCAGTAGTACTGTCTGTGGGGACAGAGAGGCTGGTCACGGCGCCACCCCAGCCACACAGCCGCCTGGTCCGGGGGCGAGGGGCCTGCTGCAGTCAGAGGTGGCGCCAGGTGGGTGGCCACCATTGGAGGAGGTGTGGCAGGTGCCCAGGCTTCTCCTCCGAGGCCCTGGGGACACAGCTGTGGGACCTAAGCTGTGTCTGATAAGGGGGCTGACTGGACCGGTGCGGACAGAGTCCAGGGGAGAAGACCCCGTCCTTGCACACCTCCCACCACACTTGCTGCGGGAGCCACTTCTGTCCCACTCTGTGGCCTCCTGCCCAGCTCACCCGCCCTGCCTGCCCCGTCCTCCCTTGGGCCATGCCTCACAGTGGGACATGAGGGCCACCTCAGCCACCTCATGCTCTTCCCCAAAAACAAGGAAGAGAGAGCCGGTGCCATGTGACCTTGTTCCCACGTGATCTGGCCCTGAGCTGCGACCCAGTGGGGCCAGGAGAGCAGGACCCAGGGGCTGAGAGCCAGCACCGTCGTATGCAGTGTGAATGCAGGGCGGTGTGCTCGAGGCCGCAGAGAGGAGCTCCGGGCCTCCTCCTTGGTGACCAGCCTCCTGTCGGCATGTGTCCACGTCCCTCACTCCTGCTCTGGAGGCTGGGGGCAAGCCCTGGCCACGTGGTGGCTCTCCTTCCCACACCGCACTGAGCCAGGGCAGTGCTGCCAGGGGCTGTTTGCTGAGGACACACATGGCACGAGGTCCCAGGGAGAGCGACCAGCACAGGCCTGTAGGGGTCTCCCTCCCTGTGCAGTGCAGGAGCCCTGAAGAGGAGCCTCTAGTGGAGGACGGCCAGCTGGAGCAGGGAGCGCCTGCAACTTCGAGGGGCTTGTCGTCTTAGGAACCCCACCGGGCATGTCCTGTCCCTCAGAATCGGGCCTGTTAGCCTCAGGCCAGCTCCTGGCACCCACACCCCAGCAGGACCCACATGGTCAGTGTCCCTGCCCTGGCTGGGCTCTCTTCCCGTTTCCCTGCCAGGCCCTGGGCCCCGTGGGGACAGGAGAGCACGGCTGAGGAAGGACCCTGTGCCGCCGGGAGACCTCACAGGGACCGTGAGCAGGTCGGAGGCGGAAGTGCAGCCGCAGGGTCATGGCCCCACAGCCCAGCGAGTCCCCAGGGCCAGGCGGCACTCACGTATTGCACACGGCCATGGTCTGGCACGCCTCCCCCGTGCAGAACTCCGAGATAGTGCTGTACTGCAGGTTGACGTGGTGGAAGAACGTGGTGGCTGCAAGAGGAGAGAAGAGCAGGCGTGAGCTCCGCCACCTCAGACGCGGCCACTGCCCAGGGCAGTGCTCTGTGCTGGGACGGCCAGCACGTATCACAGACCAGAGACAAACGCCCGTGTGGAGCACCAGCCTTGGGAGCAGCCACCAGCCACTGCCAAAGAGGCAGCAAATACCAGGCGGGCGGAAGCTGGTGGCCATCAGGCATGAGTAAACAGAAGGCCACTCCAGCCCGCCACGCTTCAGAGAAGAGCCAGTCCCCTGCAGAATCCTACCACGTGTGCAGGCGGCCCTCGTGTGGCATTCTATGAGCCCTGAGCCCCAGGCCTGCTCAGGGCCCACACCGAGGCCCCACAGTGCACTGCAGGGCTGGCCACCCATGCCTCAGCGTCCAGCCCTCCTTTTTGGTGAGCAACAGCCAGGCCGCTGGCCACATGGGCAGCACACCCTCTGCAGACAGAGCTCTGGGGATCCCCCAAGGACCTGGAGGGCGGCCACCTGCACTGCCTCCCTGCCAGCTGCAGCTGCTGTGGCTCCCAGCCCACCAGCCGCCCGCCCACCGTCCCCACGCACTGTTGCTGGCCAGCCACTCGTTGAGGTCGATCTCCCGGGGCAGCACCACCAGCTCCCTGAACTCGCAGTCGGTGATCCTGGACTTGGCATACTCTGGCTCCAGGTACACCTTCTTCTCCTCGGCCGCAGGCTTCTTCCCGTTGGGCTTTGCTTTGGACTTCCTGCCGAGAGAAGGAGCACCGTCACTGCCCGGCAAGAACCCCAGGAGACAGCCGGTGGGACACCAGAGAAGCCTCCTGGAGATGCCTTGGGGGTTCTGCTCCCACTGGCACCACGTGCCGTCCCCAGCCATCGTCTGGCCACTGCAGGGGAGAGGGGGACACAGACACATGAGCCGGCAGCCTGGCATCATGGGCTGAACCTGGAACTCTGGGCTCTCCCCCATATGTGACGCCACAGCCCTGCAGCCAGCCCGGCCCACGCCAAGGGCCTGGCGCCCAAGGCGGGATAGATGAGCAGGACACAGGGTCGGGCATCACTCACCCTGACCCATGAACAGAGTCCCAGAGGCAGGTGGGTGGTGGGCAGGCGTCCTGAGCACTGTTGCCGCCGACCCCCCAGCCCCAGCCCCATCATCACGGCTGCAGGCTCAGCCGCATAACCCCTGTCCCGCTTCTCTCTCTCTCTCTCTCTCTCTCTCTCTCTCTCTCTCAGCAGGTTCCCAGGGAGAGGGAGGTGCCAGCCAAATGCTACAGAAGTCTACAGAAACGGCCATTTCTCACTGAGGTTTTTTCTTATTTAGGAAAACAGTTCTTTCCACAAAAATGTGCCATCATTTAACACAGAACAGGTGTGTGTGGCTATTTTTTCATGAATGAGTCCATATTTCTAACACGTCTTGCTTCCATCTAAGTATGAACATCGGTGGCTAAACACCACGAACCAGTGCTCGCTGGTGCTGAGGGGCTGCATCCCCTCCTCGGTGGAGGCTGTGGTCCAGAACCAGCCTCCTGCCACTGCCCCAGGCCAGATCTGGGGCCAGGTCCCTGCGACTGAGGCAGGTCAACAAGATAGCATGTCCCCAAGAAGGAAAACTGCCCAAGGAGTGGCCTGGAGCCGCAGCTGGAGCTGCCCGGCCAGGCTAGGTTAGACACAGGACGCTGTGTCTGTCACACACTGCAGTCCATGGGCAGGACGTTGGGAGGGTCCCCCTGCGCACAGGACCCCCTCCTCGGCCCTGCCTCCTGCAACCCAGGAGGGGCGTGTGGTCGGGTGTGGGCCCAGCCCCAGCAGCCCACTCTCTCGGGTCCTCAGACCTGCAGGAGAAGCCAACCCACTCTCTCCTGGCCCCTGTCACTTGTCCCCACAGCTACAATAAAAACATACGGCCCTGGGGCCTCGGTGGCCCTCCCCCACGCCCCAGGCGAGGCTCATGGGCGGAACGGGAGGGCACTGGCTGTGGGATGAGAGGTCTCTGCAGCTCCCTGACCTTGCCCTTTTTTTGTTCTGTTTTGAAAAGTTGCTGGTGGTTTATTTGAGAAACAGGAAGAAAAAAATGGTCCCTGAACGCCAGGGAAATGTTTTCCCTTCGGCTTCTCACAGGAGATCTTCGCCTTAAAAGGCGGCGTGTGCTGGCCTCCGGGGCAGGGCCTGAGTGGCCAGTGCCAGGGGGACGACGGGACAGACTCAGACCGGGGGCCCTGACTCTGCCTGGGTGGGCCAGCTGGAGTGCAAGCACGGACGCCACACAGTCAGTGGGCGCTCAGGGGTCCCCGTGGGGGCGAGCTGTTCACTGTGGACACACGTGCCCAGAACTTCTCAGAGCCCCGCAGCCTCAGCCCAGGCAGGGAGGCTCCGTCTTCTCCAGGTCGGAGCAACAGAGGGAGACCAGGCCCCAGGAAGGGCTGGGAGCACCGGGGGGCGGGGGGGCTCTGCTGACGCCCTGAGACACTCACTGGGAGTGGGTGGGCAGGTGGGCCATGCCACTCTTTGCCCCCAGTCCTTCTCCTGACCCTGGGCCCCTGCTCCCGAGTGATGCACCACCCTGTCAGAAAGCCACAACTGGCCAGGAAGGTCCCGGTGCCTTCAGCCCCAGGCAGGTAGGACATGCCTGCAGGACACACCTTGCACCAGTGCCAGCCTCTGCTCCGGCTGTGCACCATGTCCAGCGCCTGGACCAGGCTGCTCCGCCCTCCCCCGCACTCGCACACACTGGCCTACGGCCACCACAGGGCTGGTGCACACAGCCTGGGCCTCCGGGTCTGGTGACCACGGTATGGGGACGGGACAAGGTGGGGGCCAGGCCGTAGAGCTGGCTGCTTGACCTACCTCCACGCTTTGCTACTTAGGAGCAGTGTCACCTAGTGACTCACGAACATGCCTGAGCACTAGCCTGGAGTGGCCATTACAGGAGCGGCCACGACCAGCCACTGCCACCATCGTGGGCATCGCACAGGCCTGCACGCTTCCTGTCCACGAGACCCACCAATGTCACAGCCCCCGCTCACCAGGAGGGCCCTGCAGTCGTCAGTGTGGCCCATCTGTGCTGAGCTAGACCATGTGCGCAGGTGTGAGTGAGGCCTGCTGGACCCACTGGAGGTGCAGTGGGGCTGTCCCCCATCGGCTAAGAAAGGAGTCTGGCTCTAGGAACACACAGAGCACTGGTGGGCTGGCCCCAGCTGAGGGGACACACCGAGTGCCAAGTGCCAGCCTGCCCCACAGCCCGCGGGACACGGCCCTAGGCACCTGGCTGGCATGGTCCCGCCCTCTGAGGAGCAGCAAGTAACTTCCAGGTTTTGAAAGTGGGATGAACCTTCAAGGCACCAGTCAGGCTTGGCGAGGGCTGGTAGTCCCCAGGTACAGGGTGAATGCACTCGCCTCTTTTCCTACGGTCCCCCTCAACCTGCTGTGAGTGCATTGTTACTCCCTTGCTCCCTCGCGGATGCTGGGATAGCTCAGGCCATTGCCAGGAGAGGGATGCAGGCAGGTCTGGAAGGGGTGTCCGTGGGAAGTCAGAGAAGGGTGGAGACCCTGAAAGCAGGAAGGACCAGAGGTGGCTGTGTCTGGAGACAGCCTCGTGGGACATGGGGTGTGGGAGCTGGAAAGTCTGGAGGAGGGAGCAGGGTTACAGAGACCTAGGGTACGTGAGCAGCGCTCAGGTTCTGGGAGCCCCCACAGAAACTGCTCCATGGAAAGGGGTGCTGTTGGTAGTCTGAGAAGGGGAGCCACAGAGAGGACGGCCAGCAGGACCCCACCCTGAGCCTCAGCCAATGCTCCTCACTCCAGGCTATCTCAGGGCAGGGGCCCAGACATGAGAAAGAGCTGTCTGGGGGGGCATGCAGGCAGGGTTGGGGGCAGCAATGTCCCTCGCAGAGGCACAGGCAGGCTCCTACCAACCTCCTCCGTAGGGCACCTTGGGGCGCAGGAACTCAGCCCCACCCTGGCTGGAGCTGTGGGGTTACCCTGTCACCCCTAACGGCCAGGCACAGACATGCTGGAGGCCGTTGGCACTGGGGCTCTCCACCTTTCATGGACACCTTACACCCGAGTTTTTGATGCAGGGCCCTGGGGTGGGGCCTGAACTGTCCTGAACCTCAGAACTTCCCGGCCTGACTGTTCTCTCAGGTCCCAACCAGCCTGGCGCCTCTGCACCCCGACGGGCACAGAGCCTGGGAGATGCCACGGGACCCCTGTCCGGTCCCCGTCAGACCTCCACAGGCTGTGGCGGCGGGACTGTTTCTCCTGGTTTGACTGCCCATGGTCAGCACCCCAAACAAAGGGGGCTTTCATAAGCTAATGCCCCACCAGGAGGGAGACTGCCCGCAGGCAGCCAGAAGAAGGCAGGGCAGGAGCTGCACACGCCGCTGGCCCCAAATTGCAGCCACCATGTGGCCACGGGTTCCGCTCTCACTCTGCCTGTGAAATAAGCGGCTCTTCCTTCAACACCGGGCCCAGGTATCACCTTTGCCTGGAGTCTTCCCAGGCCCCAAGTGAGAACGGCGGGCTCGCCCCAGCCCCGCTCCCCTCCCCCCACCTCCCCCATAGCTCACGGGGACCTCTGGAGTCCCATGTGCAGCTCAGACCGTGGGTTCTACCCTGTCTTCCGTGGGGCCATTTCCATGGCCAGCCCTTTTCCATCATGCCCACTGGTGTGCACACACCCACAATGCACACAGGTGTGCACACACACGGCCGCCTACACTGTCCAAGACAGTCACTTTCCCAATTGGAACCAACGAGCTGGAGAGTGCCGCCAACTTGCTCACGTTTCCAAACCCCCTGGTGAGCTGACCTGCTGCAGAAGGGAGAGGCGGACACCAGAGGTGCCCAGAGACGGCCGGAGGCACGGACCTCACCGGTTCTAGAACTCAGCGGTCACTCCACCAGGACCACCCATCAGGCCTGGCCCACACCCAGACCCTCACCACGGCTGCTATTCACTTACAGTTACAGACAGAACTGGGAAAGCGAGACGCTTCCACTTGACAGAGGACCCACTACAGTCACCTGAGGGAAAGCAGGCTTGAGCTCAACTGCGACACATTCCAAGTGACGGCTGCTCCTGACCCCCGGGGCCCCTCCAGCACCGACCCTGACCCCCAAGGGCCTCTCTGCTCCAGCTGGGGCTGAGCCATGGCCCTCGGGCCCCCCATGCACACGCACACTCATACTGGGTGAGGAAAGGTGCTACCCATGTGGGGGCACTGGAGGCCTTGCAGTAAAAGAAGAGGTGCAAACGATCGTGGCCAGTCGGCCACGGCCTAGGTCAGTTCTCGGGACACGGCTACTCATAGACAGGCTCCAATCACCCGCCTGGAGACAATAGGCCACACACCCCCACGGAGAAGGGCCTGTCCCACAGGCTCAGAGGGGACGAGGCAGGACTGCTGTGGCCAGAAAGACTCACCAGTAGGCCCTTCTCACCTCCCAGGTACAGGCGCCCCTTCCTTGCAGGGGCAAACTCCCTCCCTCGAGCAGCAGGATGCAGGCATTTAGGGGAACCCCCTGCAAACAAAGTTCCTGACCAAGTCCTAGGGCAGCAGACAACTGCAGCCTGACCCAGGGCAGGGACCAGGGAAAGTCTGACAAGCACCCCCGTGCCCAGCGTTCACCTGAGCACTCTGCCGACCGCCTGAAGCACCATTTTGCAGCTGAGTCCAGTCTTGGGGGGCTGGCTGAGCAGAGCCCGGTCTGTGGGGAGGCTGCTGTGACCCCCCAGCATGCTGGAGCAGCGCAGAGGTGCAGAGGGAAGTGGGAGCCGCAGCACCAGCGTCGCTCCCTCCCTGGGCAGTCTGCCGGGGAACCAGCCAATGAGGACGCGCAGGGGAAAGGAGGGCTCTGGCCTGGCAGACACACAGCTGCTCCTTTCACAGGCCAAGGCCAGCCCGCCTGGTTAGATGAGGGCGTGTCTCAGTCAACTTTTCAAAGTGGCGCCTTGCGGGCGGTGCTGTACGGGGAGGGCAGAGCCCCAGGGAAGAACACGTCACCGGGCCCTGGCACCTGGAGGCCCTTCTGACACAGCTGGGAGAGCTCTTCTGAGAGCAGGCGGCAGCTCTGCCCATGACCTCCTGGGGCTGACAGCACCCCTTGCCTGAGCC